TCAGAACAGGTTTATGAAATCTCAAATCTTTGGTCTTATATCAGCTTCCCTGTTCTGTTCTATTTGTAACTCTACCAGGAAATCCCCCTTTTTTCTTGAGCTAGTCATATTGATTTTCCTTTCTTTGCCATTAAGCTAGTCTAACCAAACACTAGTCTACTTTCACAGGAAGTAATTTTGGGAGTTTTTAGGCTATTATTCTTGCTATGTTAAATTATTGCAACTATATGGATAAAAAGATTCAAATTTGTTTTAATAGAAATTTCTTGTTGGAATGATCCAGTTATAAATAGAATTTACCAGTTAATGAAAGCAGTAACTATTACAGGTAACTTTGTAATTGGTTGATCACATTGCTAATTGTCTTCAGTGTGGGTTTTGTATTTCTAGAAATAACACATGGCCTATTTGAATTTGTAAAACTTTCATCACCATTTAATTATAATGCAATCCAGAATAATTTCATATGTACTATAATTTTGCTTTCAAGGTGCTTATTGAATACAAGTAATCACTCAGGTGTGGAGGCCTTTATTATTCAAAATATTAAAAATCAAATTGACATGTCATTAAAGGTAAGAGCATAGCCAAGCTGCCAATTATCAATTTATTTTATTTTGTAATATATTCATATGAGGAATACATTAATGTGGATTTTTGCACTAGTGTCTTTTTCTATTTGTAGTATTAAGGTATATATTTTCCCTGTTTCTACTTTTTTTTTTTAAACCCTGAATTTGGAAATTTTGTTAACTATAAATTGAAATTTTATTAATTCTTTGAGCTATATCATGACTTCGTTTTGCTATATACTTCCGAAAAATTAATGGAAATTTAGTCTCATCTATTTGTGGATACTTAGTAATTGCATGTAGAAAACAGAGAGAATACCAATATTTTTTAACTGGCAGGGTTTGTTTCAGATGTCTGGAAAGTAAATGAAAGTATGGAAATTAAAGTTAAAAATATATATTTTAAGACTCAATGGTTGTCAGGGTTTAGTAGAGGAGGAAGGAAGGGAGGGAAGGATGAATAGGTGGAGCACAGAGAATTTTTAGGGCAACAAAATTATTCTGTATGATGCTGTAACGGTGAATATATGGCATTATGCATTTGGCAAAACCTGTAGAACTGTGCAACACAAAGAGTGATCGTAATGTAAAATTGAGTTAATAGTAATATAATCAATATTGGTTCATAATTGTAATAAATGTACCACAGTAATGTAACATGTTAATAGGAAAAACTGTGTGTGGGGGGGACTATCTTTACTTTCTGCTCAATTTCTCTGTAAACCTAAAACTGCTGTAAAAATAAAGTCTGTTACTTAGAAAAATATCTATATATTTTAAATGTTTAATAGTTTGTTTTTATAGTGTCAAGGTATTAGAAAAACACATGATTTATCAAGCTGTTTTTTAAAGCCTTTCCCAATTTTTCTTTTGCTTTACAGACAACATATAACAAATGGTTTACAGGACCACAGCTGATTTCTCTTCTAGATTTGGTACTCTTTCTTCCAGAGGGGGCTGAAACAGATTTACTGCAAAACTCAGATAGGTGAGATGACCATTACTAAGGTTTACTAATAGTAAGTTCAGAATAAAATGTGAAACCTCTGCTTAGGGAAGCTAAATTAGTGAAACGTATTTTCCTGCGATTTTATGTTCTATGGCTAATTCATAAATTACACAAGATTTTCATACTTTAAGTTATTATATAATATATAGAAACAAAATCAAAAACAGATGAATGTCCAACACTATTATTTTTACCTTTGATGTATCCAGAATTCCATAGGGATTTGCAACTATGGCATTGTGACTAAAAACTAAGAACCT